TTGCGAATTCAACGTGACGGTAAGTGACATCTAGCGGCGATGATCGTAATGACTGTGTTGGTGATGACCGTGGCTTTATGGGCCATTGCGGCAAAATCAAAGGAGAGTGTAATAAAATAATAAATGATTAATTAAAAGGTAAAAAAAAAAAAAAATACGTGATAGGTTGTTATCATATTACCTTTCTTTTCATCTTTATTTTATTTTCTGTCCATCTAACGAACTCGGCCTTCCCCCCCCTTCTTTTTTTGAAATACCAGGCTCCCGAAGGCTACAAAGTGAGTATGTTCTTCGACACGATGAAGATTCAGTACAAGAAAAAGTGCACAAGCGATTATATCCAAGTGGTTGGCATCGAAAAGTTCTACGGAGTCAAGTAAGTGTCTTTGTTATCTCGTCTTCTTCGACTGTTATTACTTGTGCTTTTTATTTAATGGGGTAAAGTAATGGTCCCTAGAGACGGTATTAGATGAATATTCAAGGAAGAGATGGTGATGCTATGTACTTCGATATTTATAAGAATAACAGAGTGTGTGAAGGTATATTGTTGGTACTTTGGTATTTGTCCAAAGAAGAGAAGTTTTATTATAAAATTTGAATAAATACCTTTTTACCTTTGTTTATGTCTTGCATTATGATTGGTTACTGTATTTCAGTGTTAAAATATCGGTTGGAGTCATCAGCTTGTATTTTTATAAACAAAATTCTTTCAGAATTCCATAACTATCGAAATAGCGCAATATTTATACAAACAGTAGGGGAAAAAAGTTATAGAAATATCACACTATTCAGAGAACTAACTAATCTCTTTCTTCTCCCCCTCTTCTTTCTCTCTCCCTCCCTCCCTCCCTCCCTCCCCTCCCTCCTCCTCCTCTCTCTCTCCTCTCTCTCTCTCTCTCTCTCTCTCTCTCTCTCTCTCTCTCTCTCTCTCTCTCTCTCTCTCTCTCTCTCTCTCCTCTCTCTCTCTCTCTCTCCTCCTCTCCCTCCCTCCCTCCCTCCTCCCTCCTCTCTCTCCTCCCTCCTCCCCTCTCCTTCTCCTTCTCCTTCTCCCTCCCCCCCCTCCCCCCCCCCCCCCCCCCCCCTCTCTCTCTCTCTCTCTCTCTCTCTCTCTCCTCTCTCTCTCTCTCTCTCTCTCTCTCTCTCTCTCTCTCTCTCTCTCTCTCTCTCTCTCTCTCTCTTTCTCTCAGGATGTGTGGAACGAAGCTGCCTCCGCCATGGCTCTATTTCAAGTCGACGGATAATTACATGACGTTGACGTTCCATACGGATTCGTCGATGCAACTTAAAGGCTTCAAGGCATTCTTGTCTATGTAAGTTTTAGTCGGAATTCTTCACTTTTAATTTATTTGTTCGTCATTGTTGTGTTGTTGCTGTTGTTATTGTTGTTTTGTGTTATTTAAGTGCGTTCCTTTCCTTTGTTATTTTTCGTCTTTGTTGTTAGGTTAAGATACGATTCAAACTGAATTTCTTCCTTATTTATTGTTATTGCTTTTTTTTGTCCTTTTTCCTACTTTAGATTTTATCATTGGTGTTAGTATAGGAAACGATAAAAGTATCATTTTCGTCCTCATTTTTTCCGCTAAAAATCGCTAAATATTGAGTAAGCTTTACCAAATTTTCCCGCTAGATCATAATTGAAAAATTCCGGATCTAGCTTGAAAATCGCTAGAATGGCAACACTGCCCTAGACTCGGACTCCCGATTTGCCGTCTTTTTTTGAGAGGAAAAATGACGAGGCAGTGTTGAAGGCAGCACATTTAATCAAAATTCATCAAAACATTGTGTATAATCTCAAAAAAAAAGCATAACTCGCATAATTATCAACTTAGAAGAGGGATTTAGCAAATCGGAGTGCAACAGAATCTGCGGTAAACTGCCTCTTTTTCTTTCTGTCTTAGATTTTTTTTTTTTTTTTTCAGAATCCGTAACTAGCATTACAGTATCATTTAATTGAGCCTTCTCCTTGTGTTATAGGACTCTATAAGAGAGTGACGCACAGAGGAAGTGTGGAGAAAGTGCGCACTCGGAGACTCGATGCACGAAAGCGAACACGATGACCGAAAGACGACGACACACGCGAGGATTCGGACGACGCCAACGGATACTCCACCCGCAGACAAATCGGCTAACGACCAGAGCGAGGAATCGGACACGGTTTTTTGAGACGCGAATACAAGAAGGCAGAAAGAGGACGACGACTTCACGCAAACTTCTCTTACGCAGAATCCAATTTCGAACACAGACCCGACTAATTTGCCTTCGAACAGGGTTGGAGTAAAACAAGGGTTGATCAAGCGACGATTATCATTTCAAATTGGGATTGATTTAAAGAATTAAACATATAGACGTAGATATGTGTATATATATCTATGTATATATGATGGTGGTACTTTCTGAATTCAAGATTTATGTTTTAAAAATTAAGAATATTACTTCCTGTGCTTTCCACTTATACGTTGATAAATATTTTTGATAAATATTTCACAGTTTTGTGACCAGGTCTTTGATCGCAAAACAACAGCAAAATGATAATATGATGAATTATGAGGACTTGTTTTGAGGGAATATAAATGATTGGACCCTGATAGGATTCTGTAAGATTTAAAATGAATAAATTGTCACTCTCGAAACAAAGTCATTACTTTATCAGAAAATATGGATCTTTTTTTTCTTTTTTGGATTACAAAACATACGGATGAAGGTTAGAGGTTTTGGGAAAAATATATATTACTACTTTTTTTTTTCATTTTTATGTAAGTGTTCTGTTAAAGGTACCTTTGACTTTCACTTTTCTTCTCCTTCTTCTCTTCCTTCGCTACGTACACGGCAGCGACGAGGAGAAAAAGGAAGGAATAAAAGAAAACATATTAAGAGAAAACGGGAGTTTGAGAAGATGGGAAGAATGGCCATTGGAGATAAACAAAATATATATTTGCATTCAATATTAAGGAACATATATTTGGTGATATATTTACACAAATAATGAAGTTGACTGCGGTAACATGGAGATGTACTCTTATTTTTCTACATTAAGGACAAATGTATTCTAGAATGTGCACATTGCTAGCGTAAATAAACGATGGGGTTAGCTAAATACGAGGAGTTTCACAAACCTACGGACTTTGCGCGCCAGGTCTCAGGAGCTTGTCAACAGGTAGGCTGGTATGAATTCCACACGTGCACATACATACACATAAGTGTGTGCATAGGTGTGTGTGGAGGCTTATATTTATATATGTATGGAAAGATGGATTAAGTAGATGTAGACATTGAAATATACATGCACACACGCACACACACACACGACACACACACACACACACACACACACACACACACACACACACACACACACACACACACACACACACATACACACACATACACATACACACACATATATATTTGTATATATATATACATATATGCACATAGACACACACACATACACAAACGTATATATTTATTTATATGTAAGTATACATCTTGTAGTCTCCACCTCCTGAGTGCAATGCATGTTGCAAGGGCAATAGACACGCCAGTATTTAATTGATAGCATTATAACCAACTGCTGGTTATAGTTCCCGGAAAGGAAGCATAATTCAGCCTGTTATGATTGGGCGTGAGAAGGAAGATGAGATTAAGTTTTAGAGGCCTAAGGTTTTCTATGTGAAAGGAGTAATCTTTTGCCTTTAAGGTTTTTCTGTTTGATTATTGGTTTGATAGTTTTCCAAAGGATGTGGAGAAAGTAAATACTGTATATTCCAGCAATAATCTACCTATTTTATACATTATTAAACGAATTATGCTCACTTTGCTCACCAACATTGCACCCCCTCCAAGAAGAAGCTGAAACGACGTCCATATATATATATATATATATATATATATATATATATATATATATATACTTATATATATACATATATATATGTATATATACTTATATGTATATGTATATATATATATTATATATATATATATATATATATATATATATCATCCTCATCATCATTAGGGAGCTACCGCCGACGGAGGCGCAAAGCTGCATCCACCTTTCATTTCCACCTGCGAGGGTCCCTCATGACGAGCCACCAGGCAGGGACTCGGCCCATCTCAAGCTCTTCAAGACAGGTTTGATCGATCCGCCCGAACCAAATCAATAGGGATAACTGTTGCAATCCTTAAAAAAAATCCCAAGATTTGATGGCATCTAAGTTAGACTAAGACACACCTCTGGTAAAAGGTCTATTCATCAATTGTTGAATTATTCTGCTAGTCAACGAACAAACAGACAAACTAACTAACCAACACAACCAAAAACATAATCTTGAAGGTAATACATCAGACAATACATGTGATTTAATTAGGTGGAAAAATACATGATCCATTAGAATGGTTAAAATAAGAAAATCCAGATAAAGGAAGCTAATGAAAGCGAACATGAGAAAGAATACAAAACATTATTCGCCATCATAGCCCTAGAAATCAAGGAAACAAGAAGGTTGGGAAACGTAGAAGAAAATATTAAAGTTCTACCTAAAAAACTTGGAGTCAACCCCCGTTTTCTACACGTTCCATTGACTGGTTGAAGGGTCGACTATGGTAAAACCGAAATACATTTTCAAGTTGGGATAGACAGCGTATTGGCAAGTCTCTGAAAGCGAACTTATATTATATAAGTAGCTCACAGGAAGAGGCGGATATCTGCGATCTAACGAAATTCATATATACCATGAAACGTGAATGGGAGACCAATTCATGGATATATGTATGTAAGTATACATGCATACAGACACCATTCATAAACATTCACACATAACCACAAACATTTATACACACACACACACACACACAC